ATTCGGCACACCCCTCACACGTTTCGTGGCCCCGTAGGGAACTCTACCGAAGGCCCCAGTGCTGCCGCCCGCATGCGTCACGCACACCCAATTCGGCACACCCCTCACACGTTTCGTGGCCCCATAGGGAGCTCCGCCAAAGGCACCACTGCTGCCGCCCGCATGCGTCACCCACACCCAATTCGGCACACCCTCACACGTTTCGTGGCCCCAAAGGGAGCTCCGCCGAAGGCCCCAGTGCTGCCGCCCGCATGCGTCCCGCACATTCATTTCGGCACATCCTCACACGTTTCGTGGCCCCATAGGGAGCTCCACCGAAGGCCCCAGACTGCTGCCGCCCGCATGCGTCCCGCACAACCATTTCGGCACACCCCTCACGCGTTTCGTGGCCCCACAGGGAATGCGTCCCGCACACCCATTTCGGCATACCCTTCACACGCTTCGTGGCCCCATAGGGAGCCCCACCGAAGGCCCCAGTGGGTGCGCCCGCATGCGTCCCGCACATCCATGTCGGCACACCCCTCACGCGTTTCGTGACCCCTCACACGTTTAGTGGTCCCAAAGGAGCTCCACCGAAGGCCCCAATGGGTGTGCCCGCATGCGTCCCGCACATTCATTTTGGCACACCCCTCGCACGTTTCGTGGCCCCGTGGATGGGGCTCCACCGAAGGTCCCAGTGCTGACGCCCGCATGCGTCACGCACACCCAATTCGGCACACCCATCACACGTTCCGTGGCCCCAAAGGAAGCTCCGCCGAAGGCCCCAGTGGGTGTGCCCGCATGCATCCCGCACACAAATTTCGGCACACCCCGCACGCGTTTCGTGACTCCTCGCACGTTTTGTGGTCCCATAGGGAGCTCCGCCGAAGGCCCCAGTGGGTGTGCCCGCATGCGTCCCGCACACCAATGTCGGCACACCCCTCGTACGTTCCGTGGCCCCGTAGGGGGCTCCACCGAAGAAGATATTCACAACTGCGGTACTCACAATTGCATCTGGTTGGGTCCTTCGCCAGGAGAGTGTTTTTCCCAACCATCCTGTGGTGTTGGTTGGGTCTTCGTTTTGAAGAGACGTCGCCCCGTGTTCCTTCCTCCTCCTTCCTCCTCCTCCCCTTCCTCCCCCCTCCTCCCCCTCCCACGCCCATTCTGGCACACACCTCGCACGTTTCGTGGCCCCATAGGGAGCTCCACCGAAGGCCCCAGTGGCTGCGCCCGCATGCGGTTCCACCCCCCATTCTGGCACACCCCTCACACGTTTCGTGGCCCCATACGGAGCTCCACCGACGGCCCCAGTGGCTGCGCCCGCATGCGGTTCCACCCACCCATTCTGGCACACCCGTCACACGCTTCGTGGCCTCATATGGAGCTCCACCGAAGGCCCCAGTGGCTGCGCCCGCATGCGGTTCCACCCCCCATTCTGGCACACCCCTCACACGCTTCGTGGCCCCATAGGGAGCTCCACCGAAGGCCCCAGTGGCTGCGCCCGCATGCGGTTCCCCCCCCCCCATTTTGGCACACCCCTCACCCATTCTGGCACACCCCTCACACGTTTCGTGGCCCCATAGGGAACTCTACCCGAAGGCCCCAGTGGCTGCGCCCGCATGCGGTTCCCCCCCCCCAGTCTGGCACACCCCTCACACGCTTCGTGGCCCCATAGGGAGCTCCACCGAAGGCACCAGTGGCTGCGCCCGCATGCTGTTCCACCCTTCATTCTGGCACACCCTTCACATATTTCGTTGCCCCATAGGGAGCTCCACCGAAGGCCCCAGTGGCTGCGCCGGTATGCGGTTCCACCCCGCATTCTGGCACACCCCTCACACGTTTCGTGGCCCCATAGGGAGCTCCACCGAAGGCCACAGCGGCTGACCCGCATGCGGTTCCACTCCCCATTCTGGCACACCCTTCACATGCTTCGTGGCCCCATACGGAGCCCACCGAAGGCCCCAGTGGCTGCGCCCGCATGCGGTTCCACCCCCCATTCTGAACCCTTCACACGTTTCGTGGCTCCATGGGGAGCTCCACCGAAGGCCTCAGTGTTGCGCCCGCATGCGGTTCCACCCCTCATTCTGGCACACCCCTCACACGTTTCGTGGCCCCATAGGGAGCTCCACCGAAGGCCCCAGTGGCTGCGCCCGCATGCGTCACCCACACCCAATTCTTGCACACCCCTCACACGTTCGTGGTCCCATAGGGAGCTCTACCGAAGGCCCAGTGGCTGCGCCCGCATGCGGTTCACCCCCCAGTCTGGCACACCCCTCACACGTTTCGTGGCCCCATAGGGAGCTCCACCGAAGGCCCCAGCGGCTGCGCCCGCATGCGGTTCCACCCCCCCCATTCTGGCACACCCTCACACGTTTCGTGGCCCCGTAAGGAGCTCCACCGAAGGCCCCAGTGGCTGCGCCCGCATGCGCTTCCACCCCCCATTCTGGCACACCCGTCGCATGTTCGTGGCCCCATAGGGAGCTCCACCGAAGGCCCCACTGGCTGCGCCCGCATGCGGTTCCACACACCGTTCTGGCACACCCCTCACACGCTTCGTGCCCCAATAGGGAGCTCCACCGAACGCTCCAGTGGCTGCGCTCGCATGCGGTCCCACCCCCCATTTCGGCACACCCCTCACACGCTTCGCGGGTGGCTCCATGGGGAGGTCAACCGAACGCCCCAGTGGCTGCGCTCGCATGTGGTTCCCCCCCCCATTCTGGCACACCCCTCACACGTTTCGTGGCCCCATGGAGAGCTCCACCGAAGGCCCCAGTGGCTGCGCTCGCATGCGGTTCCACACTTTTTTTTTTTCGGCACGCCCTTCACACGCCTCGTGGCCCCATAGGGGGCTCCACCGAACGCCGCAGTGGCTGCGCCCGCATGCGGTTCCACCCTCCATCTCGGCACACCCCTCACACGTTCCGTGGCTTCATAGGGAGCCCCACCGAATGCCCCAGTGGCTGCGCTGGCATGCGGTTCCACACCCAATTTTGGCACACCCCTCGCACGCTTCGTGGCCCCATAGGGGGCTCCACCAAGGGTCCCAGTGGCACTGCCCGCTTGCGTCCGCCACCACCCAGCACAGCCCTTGTTCCCTGCGTTTCACCCACCCAGAACATCGCTGCGTAGCCCTATAGGGGGCTCCACCAAAGGTCACAGCGGCACCGCCCGCATGCGTCCGCCACCACCCTGCACAGCCTTTGCTCCCTGCCTGCGTTTCACCCACCCAGTACAGGTTTTCGTGGCCCCATAGGGAGCTCCACTGAAGGTCCCAGTGGCGCCGCTCGCATGCGTCCGCCACCACGCAGCACAGCCCTTGCTGACCGCGTCTCGCCCACCCAGTACAGCGCTTCGTGGCCCCATAGGGAGCTCCACCGAAGGTCACAGTGGCACCGCCCGCATGCGTCCGCCACCACCCAGCAAAATTGCGGCATCCACAACTGCATATGGTTGGGTTCTTCGCCAGGCTAATTTCACAACCATCCTGTGGTGTTGGGTCCCCGTTTTAAAGAGACGGTGCCCCGCGTTCCCGCCTCCTTCCTCCTCTCCCCCCTCCTCCTCCTCCTCCTCTCCTCTCCTCCTCCCCCTCCTCCCCCCCCCTCCTTGCGTTTCACCCACCCAGCACAGCGCTTCGTAGCCCCATAGGAGCTCCGCCGAAGGCCCCAGTACTGCCGCCCGCATGCGTCACCCACACCCAATTCGGCAAGCCCCTCACACGCTGCGTGGCCCCATAGGAGCTCCGCGGAAGGTCCCAGTGCTGCCGCCCGCATGCGTCCCGCACACCGATTTCGGCACACCCCTCACACGTTTCGTGGCCCCATAGGGAACTCTACCGAAGGCCCCAGTGCTGCCGCCCGCATGCGTCACGCACACCCACTTGGGCACACCCCTCACAAGCTTCGTGGCCCCATAGGGAGCTCCGCCAAAGGCCCCAGTGCTGCCGCCCGCATGCGTCACGCACACCCCATTCTGGCACACCCCTCACACGTTTTGTGGCCCCAAAGGGAGCTCCGCCGAAGGCCCCAGTGCTGCCGCCCGCATGCGTCACCCACACCCAATTCGGCACGCCCCTCACACGTTCCGTGGCCCCATAGGAGCTCCGCCGAAGGCCCCAGTGCTGCCGCCCGCATGCGTCACCCACACCCAATTCGGCACGCCCCTCACACGCTTCGTGGCCCCATGGGAGCTCCGCCGAAGGCCCCAGTGCTGCCGCCCGCATGCGCCACCCACACCCAATTCGGCACACCCCTCACACGCTTCGTGGCCCCATAGGAGCTCAGCCGAAGGGCCCCATAGGGAGCGCCACCGAAGAAGATATTCACAATTGCGGTATTCACAATTGCATATGGTTGGGTCTTTCGCCCGGATGAATATAAGAGATGGTGGAGGTGGGCCCGCATGGACCTGGGTTGGCTCCCGGTCGCCTGGGGGAGGGGGTGTATACTAATAGGGAACAGTGATTAAACCCCTCCCCGAAGGGGAAGAAGGAGGGGTGGAAGAGGAAACCCTTTAAACCACCGACACCCAGAGGGCTGGTGGGATTACAAAACAGGATGGTGTTCCAAGTCCGGGAACCCTAGCAGAGGACATGCGAATTCTGCAGACACCCGTGGGTCCCGAACAGACATATGTCACTTCGGGAGGGGTACGGGGAGGAATTGGATAAGGACGATGGTGATTATAATGATGATGATGATGATGATGATGATGATGATGATGATGATGATGGTGATGATGATGATGATGATGATGATGATGATGATGATGATGATGATGATGATGATGATGATGATGATGATGATGATGATGATGATGATGATGACGAGAAGGAGGAGGAGGAGGAGGAGGAAACGCAGACGGAGGAGGGGGAGGATGAGGAGGATGGGGAGGATGAAGGGGGTGAGGAGGGTGACAGGGGGAGGAGGAGGTTGAGAGGGATGAGGAGGAGGAAGAGAATGAGGACGGGGTGCAGGAGGAGCAAGAGCAAGGGAAGGATGCGAATGGGGGCAGCTGGCTGGGAGGCTCCACGCGGCGTTCGGGACGTGGTCCCTACAGCCGCACCGCCGCCGCAGGCCGCAGGGGGCCCGCGGTTTGAGGACGTCGTCTGTCTCGTGCGGTTTCTTGTGCGGTCGGACGCTGGGCGTCCACGCGGGAATTGTGTGGATCATGCGAGGCACTCCGAACAGGGCCTCGTCCTCTTGGGATCGGAACGTTGGTATCTCTTCCTCGGCCGAAGGCGGCGGGAGTCGAGCGGCGCCGGCGCCGGCGGCGGAAGCCGGCGGAAACTCGGGGGAAGACGGCAGAAATAGTTACAAGAGGCGCCGTCCAAAAAACGGCAAGGATTTGTGGTTCAGGGTGTCCAGCATCGGCCATGTGGGCGCGGGCAGAAATTTCGGCCGATTGGCTTCCCTGTTTGAGGCTGCCTTCTTTGGGCTCGCCATGAACACGCCCGTTTGAAGGGGCTCGCACGTGTGAATTGCGCGTCGTCGTGGTCGTCGTGGTGGTCGTCGTGTTGTTGGTCATCGTCGTCGCCGTCGTCGTCGTCGACGCCGCGGTCGGCGTTCTGGGGGAACGCACCGATTTCGGCCGGATGTCGGGCCCAGGAGGGGCCCTTTGCCCTCCCTGTGCCCCGCGCTCGCTTCGGCGAGCCGCGCCAGCGTCGAGGGTTGTGCGCATGCCCGCGCGCGGGCCTGTGTCCGCGTGGCACGCCCGGATAGTTACGTGGACTCGTGCAGCCACGCGAAGTAGGGGGATGGGGGAGGGAGGAGGGCTTCTCAGAAGCACCCCTGCCTCTCAGAAGGCGCGGGCCTTATCTCTGGATGTGAGGCCGGCGCGTTCTGAGGAGCAGCCTCCTTCTAAGAAGCCTCCCCCCTCCCTCCAGCCCCGCGTGCGCGCACCAACATGAGGGCTCGCCAGGGACACCACACAAGATTGTATGGACTCGCACGTGTTTATTCCGCGTCATCGTCGTCACGATCGTCGTCTTCGTCTTCGTCGTCGTCGTCGTCGTCTTCGTCGTGGTCGTCGTCGTGGTCGTCGTCGTCGTCGTCGTGGTCGTGGTCGTCGTCGTCGTCGTCGTCGTCGTCGTCGTCGCGCGGTCGGCGTTCTGGGGGAGCGCACAGCGGTTTCGGCCAGGTCTTGGGGCCGGTGGGGGCCCTTGGCCTCAAGCCGGGCCTGGCCCTCTACAGGAGGAATACAGTGAACCCGCACAGGAAGGATGGGCAACCTTCCCAAGGGTTCCCTTGCATCCTTGCATCCTTGCTGCACGCATTGACTGTATCCAGAAATTGTCAAAAATTAGTCTGGGGACGATTTTTCCTACTACTTTGGGTCATTGTGGGCTATTCTGGACCATTTTGGGGCATGTTTTGATTATTTCCCAACCATCCTGTGGTGTTGGGTCCTCGTTTTGAAGAGACGTCGCCCCGCGTTCTCCTCCTCCTCTCCTCCTCCTCCCCTTCCTCCCCCCTCCTCCCCCTCCCACACCCATTCTGGCACACCCCTCACACGTTTCGTGGCCCCATAGGGAGCTCCACCGAAGGCCCCAGTGGCTGCGCCCGCATGCGGTTCCACCCCCCATTCTGGCACACCCCTCACACGTTTCGTGGCCCCATAGGGAGCTCCACCGAAGGCCCCAGTGGCTGCGCCCGCATGCGGTTCCACCCCCCATTCTGGCACACCCCTCACACGTTTCGTGGCCCCATAGGGAGCTCCACCGAAGGCCCCAGTGGCTGCGCCCGCATGCGGTTCCACCCCCCCATTCTGGCACACCCCTCACACGTTTCGTGGCCCCATAGGGAGCTCCACCGAAGGCCCCAGTGGCTGCGCCCGCATGCGGTTCCACCCCCCATTCTGGCACACCCCTCACACGTTTCGTGGCCCCATAGGGAGCTCCACCGAAGGCCCCAGTGGCTGCGCCCGCATGCGGTTCCACCCCCCATTCTGGCACACCCCTCACACGTTTCGTGGCCCCATAGGGAGCTCCACCGAAGGCCCCAGTGGCTGCGGTTCCACCCCCCATTCTGGCACCACCCCCCATTTCGTGGCACACCCCTCAGCGATAGGGAGCTCCACCGAAGGCCCCAGTGGCTGCGCCCGCATGCGGTTCCACCCCCCATTCTGGCACACCCCTCACACGTTTCGTGGCCCCATAGGGAGCTCCACCGAAGGCCCCAGTGGCTGCGCAGCTGCGGTTCCACCCCCCATTCTGGCACACCCCTCACACGTTTCGTGGCCCCATAGGGAGCTCCACCGAAGGCCCCAGTGGCTGCGCCCGCATGCGGTTCCACCCCCCATTCTGGCACACCCCTCACACGTTTCGTGGCCCCATAGGGAGCTCCACCGAAGGCCCCAGTGGCTGCGCCCGCATGCGGTTCCACCCCCCATTCTGGCACACCCCTCACACGTTTCGTGGCCCCATAGGGAGCTCCACCGAAGGCCCCAGTGGCTGCGCCCGCATGCGGTTCCACCCCCCATTCTGGCACACCCCTCACACGTTTCGTGGCCCCATAGGGAGCTCCACCGAAGGCCCCAGTGGCTGCGCCCGCATGCGCTTCCACCCCCCATTCTGGCACACCCCTCACACGTTTCGTGGCCCCATAGGGAGCTCCACCGAAGGCCCCAGTGGCTGCGCCCGCATGCGGTTCCACACACCGTTCTGGCACACCCCTCACACGCTTCGTGCCCCAATAGGGAGCTCCACCGAACGCTCCAGTGGCTGCGCTCGCATGCGGTCCCACCCCCCATTTCGGCACACCCCTCACACGCTTCGTGGGTGGCTCCATGGGGAGGTCCACCGAACGCCCCAGTGGCTGCGCTCGCATGTGGTCCCCCCCCCTCCATTCTGGCACACCCCTCACACGTTTCGTGGCCCCATAGAGAGCTCCACCGAAGGCCCCAGTGGCTGCGCTCGCATGCGGTTCCACACCCTTTTTTCGGCACGCCCTTCACACGTCTCGTGACCCCATGGGCAGCTCCACCGAACGCCGCAGTGGCTGCGCTCGCATGCGGTTCCACCCTTCATTTCGGCACACCCCTCACACGTTCCGTGGCTTCATAGGGAGCTCCACCGAAGGCCCCAGTGGCTGCGCTGGCATGCGGCTCCACACCCCATTCTGGCACACCCCTCGCACGTTTCGTGGCCCCATAGGGGGCTCCACCAAAGGTCCCAGTGGCACTGCCCGCTTGCGTCCGCCACCACCCAACACAGCCCTTGTTCCCTGCGCTTCACCCACCCAGAACATCGCTGCGTAGCCCTATAGGGGGCTCCACCAAAGGTCACAGCGGCACCGCCCGCATGCGTCCGCCACCACCCTGCACAGCCTTTGCTCCCTGCCTGCGTTTCACCCACCCAGTACAGCGTTTCGTGGCCCCATAGGGAGCTCCACCGAAGGTCCCAGTGGCACCGCTCGCATGCGTCCGCCACCACGCAGCACAGCCCTTGCTGACCGCGTCTCACCCACCCAGTACAGCGCTTCGTGGCCCCATAGGGAGCTCCACCGAAGGTCACAGTGGCACCGCCCGCATGCGTCCGCCACCACCCAGCAACATTGCGGCATTCACAACTGCATATGGTTGGGTCCTTCGCCAGGCGAAGTTCACAACCGTCCTGTGGTGTTGGGTCCCCGTTTTGAAGAGACGGTGCCCCGCCCCCTCCTCCCTGCGTTTCACCCACCCAGTACAGCGTTTCGTAGCCCCATAGGAGCTCCGCCGCAGGTCCCAGTGCTGCCGCCCGCATGCGTCACGCACACCCAATTGGGCACACCCCTCACACGCTTCGTGCCCCATAGGGAGCTCCGCCAAAGGCCCCAGTGCTGCCGCCCGCATGCGTCACGCACACCCAATTCGGCACACCCTCACACGTTTCGTGGCCCCAAAGGGAGCTCCGCCGAAGGCCCCAGCGCTGCCGCCCGCATGCGTCACCCACACCCAATTCGGCACGCCCCTCACACGTTTCGTGGCCCCATAGGAGCTCCGCCGAAGGCCCCAGTGTTGCCGCCCGCATGCGTCACCCACACCCAATTCGGCACGCCCCTCACACGCTTCGTGGCCCCATGGGAGCTCCGCCGAAGGCCCCAGTGCTGCCGCCCGCATGCGTCACCCACACCCAATTCGGCACACCCCTCACACGTTTCGTGGCCCCATAGGAGCTCAGCCGAAGGGCCCCATAGGGAGCGCCACCGAAGAAGATATTCACAATTGCGGTATTCACAATTGCATATGGTTGGGTCTTTCGCCCGGATAAATATAAGAGATGGTGGAGGTGGGCCCGCATGGACCTGGGTTGGCTCCCGGTCGCCTGGGGGAGGGGGTGTATACTAATAGGGAACAGTGATTAAACCCCTCCCCGAAGGGGAAGAAGGAGGGGTGGAAGAGGAAACCCTTTAAACCACCGACACCCAGAGGGCTGGTGGGATTACAAAACAGGATGGTGTTCCAAGTCCGGGAACGCTAGCAGAGGACATGCGAATTCTGCAGACACCCGTGAGTCCCGAACAGACATATGTCACCTCGGGAGGGGTAGGGGGAGGAATTGGATAAGGACGATGGTGATGATGATGATGATGATGATGATGATGGTGATTATGATGATGATGATGATGGTGATTATGATGATGATGATGATGATGATGATGATGATGATGATGATGATGATGATGATGATGATGATGATGATGATGATGATGATGATGATGATGACGAGAAGGAGGAGGAGGAGGAGGAAACGCAGACGGAGGAGGGGGAGGATGAGGAGGATGGGGAGGATGAAGGGGGTGAGGAGGGTGACAGGGGGAGGAGGAGGTTGAGAGGGATGAGGAGGAGGAAGAGAATGAGGACGGGGTGCAGGAGGAGCAAGAGCAAGGGAAGGATGCGAATGGGGGCAGCTGGCTGGGAGGCTCCACGCGGCGTTCGGGACGTGGTCCCTACAGCCGCACCGCCGCCGCAGGCCGCAGGGGGCCCGCGGTTTGAGGACGTCGTCTGTCTCGTGCGGTTGTTGTGCGGTCGGACGCTGGGCGTCCACGCGGGAATTGTGTGGATCATGCGAGGCACTCCGAACAGGGCCTCGTCTTCTTGGGATCGGAACGTTGGTATCTCTTCCTCGGCCGAAGACGGCGGGAGTCGAGCGGCGCCGGCGCCGGCGGCGGAAGCCGGCGGAAACTCGGGGGAAGACGGCAGAAATAGTTACAAGAGGCGCCTTCCCAAAAAACGGCAAGGATTTGTGGTTCAGGGTGTCCAGCATCGGCCATGTGGGCGCGGGCAGAAATTTCGGCCGATTGGCTTCCCTGTTTGAGGCTGCCTTCTTTGGGCTCCCCATGAACACGCCCGTTTGAAGGGGCTCGCACGTGTGAATTGCGCGTCGTCGTGGTCGTCGTGGTGGTCGTCGTGTTGTTGGTCATCGTCGTCGCCGTCGTCGTCGTCGACGCCGCGGTCGGCGTTCTGGGGGAACGCACCGATTTCGGCCGGATGTCGGGCCCAGGAGGGGCCCTTTGCCCTCCCTGTGCCCCGCGCTCGCTTCGGCGAGCCGCGCCAGCGTCGAGGGTTGTGCGCATGCCCGCGCGCGGGCCTGTGTCCGCGTGGCACGCCCGGATAGTTACGTGGACTCGTGCAGCCACGCGAAGTAGGGGGATGGGGGAGGGAGGAGGGCTTCTCAGAAGCACCCCTGCCTCTCAGAAGGCGCGGGCCTTATCTCTGGATGTGAGGCCGGCGCGTTCTGAGGAGCAGCCTCCTTCTAAGAAGCCTCCCCCCTCCCTCCAGCCCCGCGTGCGCGCACCAACATGAGGGCTCGCCAGGGACACCACACAAGATTGTATGGACTCGCACGTGTTTATTCCGCGTCATCGTCGTCACGATCGTCGTCTTCGTCTTCGTCGTCGTCGTCGTCGTCTTCGTCGTGGTCGTCGTCGTGGTCGTCGTCGTCGTCGTCGTGGTCGTGGTCGTCGTCGTCGTCGTCGTCGTCGTCGTCGTCGCGCGGTCGGCGTTCTGGGGGAGCGCACAGCGGTTTCGGCCAGGTCTTGGGGCCGGTGGGGGCCCTTGGCCTCAAGCCGGGCCTGGCCCTCTACAGGAGGAATACAGTGAACCCGCACAGGAAGGATGGGCAACCTTCCCAAGGGTTCCCTTGCATCCTTGCATCCTTGCTGCACGGGTTGACTGTATCCAGAAATTGTCAAAAATTAGTCTGGGGACGATTTTTCCTACTACTTTGGGTCATTGTGGGCTATTCTGGACCATTTTGGGGCATGTTTTCCCAACCATCCTGTGGTGTTGGGTCCTCGTTTTGAAGAGACGTCGCCCCGCGTTCTCCTCCTCCTCTCCTCCTCCTCCCCTTCCTCCCCCCTCCTCCCCCTCCCACACCCATTCTGGCACACCCCTCACACGTTTCGTGGCCCCATAGGGAGCTCCACCGAAGGCCCCAGTGGCTGCGCCCGCATGCGGTTCCACCCCCCATTCTGGCACACCCCTCACACGTTTCGTGGCCCCATAGGGAGCTCCACCGAAGGCCCCAGTGGCTGCGCCCGCATGCGGTTCCACCCCCCATTCTGGCACACCCCTCACACGTTTCGTGGCCCCATAGGGAGCTCCACCGAAGGCCCCAGTGGCTGCGCCCGCATGCGGTTCCACCCCCCATTCTGGCACACCCCTCACACGTTTCGTGGCCCCATAGGGAGCTCCACCGAAGGCCCCAGTGGCTGCGCCCGCATGCGGTTCCACCCCCCATTCTGGCACACCCCTCACACGTTTCGTGGCCCCATAGGGAGCTCCACCGAAGGCCCCAGTGGCTGCGCCCGCATGCGGTTCCACCCCCCTGGCACACCCCTCACACGTGGCACCCCATCACTTCGTGGCCCCATAGGGAGCTCCACCGAAGGCCCCAGTGGCTGCGCCCGCATGCGGTTCCACCCCCCATTCTGGCACACCCCTCACACGTTTCGTGGCCCCATAGGGAGCTCCACCGAAGGCCCCAGTGGCTGCGCCCGCATGCGGTTCCACCCCCCATTCTGGCACACCCCTCACACGTTTCGTGGCCCCATAGGGAGCTCCACCGAAGGCCCCAGTGGCTGCGCCCGCATGCGGTTCCACCCCCCATTCTGGCACACCCCTCACACGTTTCGTGGCCCCATAGGGAGCTCCACCGAAGGCCCCAGTGGCTGCGCCCGCATGCGGTTCCACCCCCCATTCTGGCACACCCCTCACACGTTTCGTGGCCCCATAGGGAGCTCCACCGAAGGCCCCAGTGGCTGCGCCCGCATGCGGTTCCACCCCCCATTCTGGCACACCCCTCACACGTTTCGTGGCCCCATAGGGAGCTCCACCGAAGGCCCCAGTGGCTGCGCCCGCATGCGGTTCCACCCCCCATTCTGGCACACCCCTCACACGTTTCGTGGCCCCATAGGGAGCTCCACCGAAGGCCCCAGTGGCTGCGCCCGCATGCGGTTCCACCCCCCATTATGGCACACCCCTCACACGCGTGGCTCCATAGGGAGCTCCACCGAGCCCCCAGTGGCTGCGCTCGCATGCGGTTCCACCCCCCATTCTCGCACACCCCTCACACGTTTCGTGGCCCCATAGGGAGCTCCACCGAACGCCCCAGTGGCTGCGCTCGCATGCGGTTCCACCCCTTCATTTCGGCACACCCCTCACTCGTTTCGTGGCCCGGGGGCGCCACCGAGGAATATATCCACAATTGCGGTATTCACAACTACGTATGGTTGTGTTTTTCGTCAGGCTAATTTTTCATTTTTCGCCCAAAATCCGCTTGTATGGGGGACATGCCCGACCCAAGCCTTGGCCCTCCTGCGCCCCGCGCTCGCCTCGGCGAGCCGCGCCGACTTCGAGAAGGTGTGCCCGCGCGCGCAGAGGTGCTGCGCTCTTCCGGGGGCCATGTTCTGGACCCGGGACTATCAAAAATGGGGCTTGCAGGGCTCGTTTCGATTCCTCCACTTCGATTCGATTCGACTCCGATGGATTCCGGTTCCGATTCGATTCGATTCAGGATTCCGATCAGGGCTCCGGTTTTGTTCTGGACGCATACTAGTTGGCCGATTTCCGCCGATTCGACTCCTCCCGACTCGGCTGCCGATTTCCGCCGATCCGACTTGTTCCGATCGCCGATCCGACTTACCCATTTGATTCTGAGCTCTCCTGGGTCGTTGGGTGAAACACTGCACCAGATGGACCCCGCCGGGAGGTGTCGGGGGCCGATTCTGAGAGCATTTTGCGGCCTCTCTCAGTCCCAACCAGTCCAGGCCCTCATGGACGCAGTCAATGTGGGCTCGCCAGGAACACCACACATCTGCTTGGGATCGCACGTGTATGTGGGAACGCGGGCATCGCAATTTGTCATTCTGATCGTTGCCAGCAGCTTTTGGAGACGTCAGCGTGTCCATCTGGTCGTTGCGTGCCAGTTTTGCTTTACTGCCTCCAGGATATGTTGCATATGTCCTGTGTATCCTGGGCCCTCAGCCCACAAGCGCAGCCGCTGCTATTGCCAGTCATTCCCTCGTATTGTCCTTGCGTCGCGTGCTTGACCTTGTCACGATTCGAGTGGGTGTAACTCCTTTCGGTCTCGCTCCCCTCGTCTTGGCAGGCTGTCCAACAAGAGGAATGTCTGACTTCTGACATCGACGCCTACACCGAGTGCGAGTCCGACCCTGATGATCCAATATCTGATTGGGAGGCGTCTGCTTGCGACGGCGATCGGTCTCTGCAGTACTCGCTACTCTCTTCCCGCTTCTCCATGCTCCTTTTCGTCCTCCATCTCCCTGCCCCCTCGCCCATCCTGGCCCCCTCTCCGCCCCTGAAGACGCCCTTCTCCTGCCCTTCGACGTTGCACAATGCCACTCGTCCATTCTGCGCCTCCCTGTCTCCACTGCCCCCAGCCCACAGCATTGGCCCCCTCGGTGCGGCGGGTCGCACGCCCGTTCGTCCTGACGCCCAACTGCCAGCTCTCCCTCCTCCCCCCCTCCTCCCCCCTCTCTCGGGAAGCCGTGAGGCTCGGGTTCGGGTGAACTGGCTTGGCCCGACGGGACCATCATGAAAATGACGAGACCCACGCTGAAGTTTGAAGCGTCGGCGAACCCGAGCTCCGGCGTACTCGAGTCGTACGTTTCCCCGACTCTCCCCTCCGTTCCTCATCCCCATGGGCTCTTCCCAGCTGAAGACAAGCCGCCAGATCAAGACAGCAATCTCATGTTGCTGCTGTCCGAGCTGGCAAGCACCCCAAGACGGGAATGAAGCTCGTCTGATCCTGTGGGCCTTTCAGCCCAATGGTGGCCTGTGCTCCTGTCCCTCAGTTGCACGACTGGTCATCGGCGTGGTCCTCTCCCCCCCGGCTGCCAGTCCCTCCAGGCCCACTCACTCCAGCGGGGCGGCTCCCTGTCTGCCCCGTGGGCTTCGGCCCCGCCGGGGGGCAGGCCACGCGTGGCACTTGCTGCTGCCTCTCCGGCCACGAGACTTGACATCCGCTCGGGCCAGCACACACATCTTTGGCTCGTGTCAAGTAGAGGAGGGGTGATGAGGAGGAGGGGGGGAGGAGGAGGAGGAGGAGGAGGAGGAAGGAGTTTTTGGAGCTTCATCGGATGACCATGTCCTCGGTCAAACCCAAGTCCCAGGGCCGTTCGCTCTCGGTCTTGTGCCTCCTTGAAGGGGACCCCACGTGGAGGGCCAGTGTGCTCCCATCTTCAGATGGGCCAAGGAGATTTGGATTGTACAGACCCGCGCTTTTCCTTGGTCGCCGAGCTGGAGTGATCTGAGGGTTGGTTGGGAGTCTGTTTTTTTCCTCTGAGGATCACTCCTGGCCCAAAGTGTCTGGCCCGATTTCAGCCCTCAGGACGTCGCTCTATTGGCTTGGCTGGTCCATGCCTAATCGTTGCACCATCTTAGACGACTTCGGGCGCGAGATCTCCCTGACCCTTTCTTCCCCAAAACTGTCAACCACTATTGCAAAGAGGCTGTTTTCAGGTCCCTCGAGAGGGAAAGTGGGGATACGTATAAGGTTCACAGGAGGCTCTGTTGGGATGTTCAGGAGGCGCTCCTGGCCTCGAAGAGGATCTCGGGCACACAGAAGGGGATGATCCGCGCGCTCTCGACCAATGCCTGCTGTACAGCGGGCGACGCGGCCGACCTCGGCTACCCCATTTCCAGTTTGTGCAGCCTGTGTGGCGAGCGAAAGACTGCCTCTTTCACAGACTCTACGTCTGCCCGTGCGTCCAGGATGAGCGCAACGACATTCTCCCCCCTGGGTTCAGGAAGCAGCTCGAGAAGGCGATTGGAGTGACCCCGAGCACCGTGCTCTATTGCGAAGGCCTTACGGCCTGTGCTGCCGACCCTGGAGGCCACGAATATGGAAACCCTGGGGGGGTGGAGGAGGAGGACGTGGAGAGGGAGGAAGGGTGGAGGAGGCGCAGCCCAGGCGCCCCAGCAGCCCCCAGGCGACGTCGCGATCCACATGCCAGCCGACGAGGACATCGCCTGGGAAGAGTTCATGCGCGAACAGGACGCGGACATCGGTGGCATGCACGCGCCTGACGCTGAGAAGCGTCGGGCCCTGGTGGCGGAGTTGCAGGCCGAGATGGCCAGCAAGCGGGCGCGTGCTGAGCATGGCGTGGGCGAGGCTGCTCCTGCTGTGTCTTCTTCCTAGCCCCGCGAACGGCATGGTGCACTTCAACATCCTCTGGGAGTGCAACCAGGTGGACGCCGAGTGGGCGGGGGAGTCGGGCAAGGTCGTGCCTGCCATCCGCCATGAGAGGCAGCATGGCGCGGAGCAGCATGGCGACGGGGATCTCAGGATTGCGTGCTGCCGACCCGCTCGAGCTGGCGATGGAGATGGGAGAGGTACTTCAGCGTCGATTGGGCCCTCGGCGTCGACATTTCGGATCGGGTCGTCTGCAGGAGAGGCACACCCCCTGGACCGACAAGGCGGCGGCCCCTTGGGCAGTAACGCTGTCGAGTCGGGACAGTCGGGAGGCGCCGCCTCTCCTGCCGCTGGACCGCGTCTTACTGGGCCAGGGCGTTGGGGGCAGCCGCCTGCTGACATTGCCCCAGGCTCAGGAGACGATGTGCACGGCATTCCTCTTTGTGACGGATTCAAACCGCCAGGTTGCAGCGACCAGGCGGGGGAGGGGGGAGCGACGGCCAGCCCCCGCGCCTCCCAGGGGAGGTCGTCGACTGATGCTCAGCCTCCTTCGGGAACAACAGGCCCAGTGTTGGTGGACGGCTTCCAGCGTGAGTCCAAGTGGAAGGTGTTGACGGTGAGCGTGAATGCTTACGCCAGTTTCGAGCCGCTGTTGGAGATGGATTTGGTTAGACAGGCGGATCTGATCTTCGTGCAAGAAACCCACTTGGGGCAGCGCCAGGGAGACGATGCAGTCGGAAAGTTCGCCAAAGCTGGATGGCATGCTTTCGCTCTCCCTGCAGTCGGGTGTGGGCCTGGTTTACCTGGATCCTGAGGACTGCTCACGCTTGTGCCTGCTCGGCATGGCCTTGGGTTCGTGGAAGATGGTAGAACGGCCATGGTCGCACCAGGAAGGGCTTTTATTTTATGTCATTCTGGGCTTGTGGAGCAGGGCGCTGTCGTGGTAAATGTCTACTTGCGCGCGGGGGAGAGGATGTCGCCCGATAGTGTGTGTCTCCTGCTGGACATTGCTGAGCGTGTGCGATGTATAGGCAAGCCGTTCATCATCGGAGGCGATTTCAATGCCACCCCGCAGGAGTTGCAAGAGGCTGGTATCTTTGAATTTCTGCCGTGTTCGGTGTGGGCCCCACAGGGTGGCACATGTGCACCAGCCTGTCGTGTGATTGATTTCTCTCTTGTTTCTAACCACTTGGTACCGACCCATGTGCAGACGGAGCCTTCAATCCCTATGAGTCCTCACACGGCAGTCTCCATGGATATGAAGTCGGGTTTGAGCCGGCCGTGGATGCGTGTTATGCCTGTGCCGCGGCCTTTTCCAGCAGTTCGGCCGTCAGGGTGTGCCTCGGTGGACTTCAACGAAATTCGGGAGCAGATTCGTCAGGGCATGCCCACGGGTTCAGGCGCGCTGGGGAACTGTCCAAAGGATGGGAGATGTTCATCGCCGCAGCGGAGCATGAGTGGTGTGACGTGTACCAAGTTGAAGAAGAAGAAGAAGACCGTTCGAAACATCTCGGCAGAGCGCAGCTTCCTCGTCCAAAGTCGGTTCGCTCGCAGCCCCCCCTGCCGCCGAAGTTCCCGAAGGTATCCCCTGAGGCCATCTGGCTGCGGAAGTTGGGTGCATCGATGTCGTTTGCTTCTCATGTGGGACAACCTACTACACGGGTTAATGCGCTTCGAGCGGTGGGAAACTTGGTTCGGGGTGTTACTGGATGTGTGCGACTGGGTGGTCCTTCCATTGGCAACCTCTGGTGGGCCCTGGTTACGTTCCCCCCCGTCTGGGACCTGGACCCGCAGGTTGTCTACTTCATGAGTCAGGAGAGTAAGAGAGGGGCCTCGCGCGTGGCCCGGCGTGACTTGCAACGGCGCGCTGTGCAATTCAGGATGTGGGTCTCGGAGCAGTCTGCGGGCGGTGCTGGTGGGCTCCACGCGCTCTCTAACAACCCCAAAGGCTGGCAGAGTAGCTCCATGGACCCTGAAGACCCCGCCAAGCCCGTCAATAAGCAGCAAGAGGTTGACGAGTTGCAGAAAACTTGGAGTCGCCGGTGGAAGCTGGGGGAGAAGCATCCTATACTTCGCTGGCCTGGGGATCTTGGGGAGAGGCCCCCTCGGCCGACGCTCGACCACATGTGCAGGGTCCTGAGGTCCTGCAAGGCCATGTCTGGGATGGGGTTCTGCGCCGTCAGGCCGAGGCAGCTGCGCGAGTTGTGCGGCTCCGCGGTCGAGTTTGCTCGACCTGGTCATGGCCGTCGATGCCGCGGCCGAGTGGCCGATGCTGGTTGCGAAGATTGCGCTTCTGGCCAAGCGGTTGGGCGGGGTCCGCCCCATCGCGCTGCCCCATGTCGTCGCCAAGGTCCAAGCCAGGTTGAGAATGCCCATCGCGAAAGAGTGGGAGGTGAAGAATGCTCGGCATCATTTCTGGGCTGCCCTTGGGAAATCGCGTGAGCGGGCTGCGCGGCAACGGTCGGCGTGGTCCGAATGGGCTGCGGCGAAAGGCAAGGGGGCCCAGGCGGGCTATGGACGTCGGCCCAGGCGATGATGGACCTCTTGAAAGCTCTCGAACAGGTTCAGCACCATTGGCTCCTGGGGGCGGCGTTGAGAACTGCATTTCCTCTCTGGCAGTTGCGTCTACAGGTCCTTTGAAACAGGGCGCCGAGGTTCCTCGCCCTCGGCACCGTGGTCTCGGACGAGCTGCTGGTCGATCAGACCATCTTGCCTGGCGACGGATGGGCCGCCAGATTCTTCAAGCTTGCCCTACTCCAACCTCTCGATCGAGTATGGTCTTTAGCACGGTCGGTGACTCCGTTCGTGGTGGTCGATGATGTTATTCTTCATAGAATTGGTTCGAGTAAGGTTGTCACTCGAGAAATAGTTCAGGCGTCTAAGGCTCCGCAGCGTGAACTGGATGTTTGCCAGCTACAGCTGCGCGATTACAAGGCGCGCGGGATGTCCAGCGGCAGCGAGGTGCGTTCGGATATCGCTCGGCAACTTGTTCGCATCGGGGCCCTGGCGTCCGGACATGAAAGAAACCTCGGAGTTGCTTTAAC